GAGGTTCATGACATTGCACAGGAGGCAGTGATCAAGACCATCCCCAAGAGAAAGAAATGCAAAAAGACAAAATGGTTGTCTGAGGAGGCCTTATAAATAGCTATGAAAAGAAATGAAAGGCAAAGGAGAAAAGGAAAGATATTCCCATTTGACTGCAGAGTTCCAAAGAATAGCAAGGAGAGATAAGAAAGCCTTCCTCAGTGATCAGTGCAAAGAAATAGAGGAAAGCAATAGAATGGGAAAGACTAGAGATCTCTTCAAGGAAATTAGAGATACCAATGGAACATTTCATGCAAATATGGGCACAATAAAGGACAGAAATGGTATGGACCTAACAGATGCAGAAGATATTAAGAAGAGGTAGCAAGAAGACACAGAAGAACTATGCAACAAGGATCTTCACAAACCAAATAATCATGATGGTGTGATCACTCACCTAGAGCCAGACATCCTGGAATGAGAAGTCAAGTGGGTCTTAGGACGCATCACTTTGAACAAAGGTAGTGCAGGTGATGGAATTCCAGTTGAGCTATTTCAAATCCTGAAAGATGATGCTTTGAAAGTGCTGCACTCAATATGTCAGTTAATTTGGAAAACTCAGCAGTGGCCACAGGACTGGAAAAGGTCAGTTTTCACTCCAATCCCAAAGAAAGGCAATGCCAAAGAATGCTCAAACTACTGCACAATTGCACCCATCTCACATGCTAGCAAAGTAATTCTCAAAATTCTCCAAGCCAGGCTTCAACAGTTTGTGAACCATGAATTTCCAGATGTTGAAGCTGGATTTAGAAAAGGCAGAGGAACTGGAGATCAAATTTCCAACATCCATTGGCTCACTGAAAAAGCAAGAGAGTTCCAGAAAGACATCTATTTCTGCTTTGTTGACTATACCAAAGACTTTAACTGTGTGGATAATAACAAACTGTGGAAAATTCTTCAAGAGATGAGAATACCAGACCACCTGACCTGCCTCCTGAGAAATCTGTATGCAGATCAAGAAGCAGCAGTTAGAACTGGACATGGAACAACAGACTGGTTCCAAATAGGGAAAGGAGTACGACAAGGTTGTATATTTAACTTGCTTATTTAAGTTCTCTGCAGAGTACATCAGGAGAAATGCTGGACTGGATGAAGCACAAGCTATCATCAAGATTGCAGGGAGAAATATCAATAACCTCAGATATGCAGATGACACCACACTTAGGGCAGAAAGTGAAAAAGAACTAAAGAGCCTCTTGATGAAAATGGAAGAGGAGGGTGAAAAAGTTGGCCTAAAGCTCAACATTCAGAAAACTAAGATCATGGCATCTGGTCCCATCACTTCATGGGAAATAGATGGAGAAACAGTGGAAACAGTGGCTGAATTTATTTTTGGGGACTCCAAAATCACTGCAGATGGTGATTGCAGCCATGAAGTTAAAAGACGCTTGCTCCTTGGAAGGAAAGTTATGACCAACCTAGACAGCATGTTAAAAAGCAGAGACATTACTTTGCCAACAAAGTCCATCTAGTCAAAGCTATGGTTTTTCCTGTAGTCATGTATGGATGTGAGAATTGGACTGTAAAGAAAGCTGAGCACTGAAGAATTGATGCTTTTGAACTGTGGTGTTGGAGAAGACTCTTGAGAGTCCCTTGGATAGCAAGGAGATCCAACCAGTCCATCCTAAAGGAAATCAGTCCTCAATATTCATTGGAAGAACTGACGCTGAAGCTGAAACACCAATATTTTGGCCACTGGATGTGAAGACCTGACTTATTTGTAAAAACCCTGATGCGGGGAAAGATTGAAGGTGAGAGAAAGGGAATGGTAGAGGATGAGATGGTTGGTTGGCATCACCGACTGGATGGACATGAGTCTGAGTAAACTCCAGGGGTTGGTGATGGACAGGGAGGCCTGGCGTCCTGCAGTCCATGGGGTTGCAAAGAGCCACTGAACTGAACTGAATTTCTTCTAGAACAAAATTTTTCACAGTCTGCATTTACTATAACAGATTTCTCCTGTCAAAGCAGAATGAAAGTCCATGGTATCATTGAAGAAACGTGGTTAAAATTCCCTAATTGCTTCCCACTCCTTTCTCATGGAAGCAGTTCTTGATTCACTCCCACCATACGTTGTTAGTGTCCCATAAATGCAAGGGAAAATCTGTTGGGCTTTGAAGGAGAGCCCCACCAAAATTCAATCTCAGGTCCTAGTTGATGTTTTCATAGGAAAAATTCCTTAATATTCAGTTTTATAAAATAAAATCAAATCATTTTATTGTGCCAAATGTTAGTAAAGTGAAGATATTGTTGGAAATTTCTCAACTACCTTGCTGCTGCTGCTGCTAAGTCGATTCAGTCATGTTCAACTCTGTGCCACCCCATAGACAGCAGCCCACCAGGCTTCTCCGTCCATGGGATTTTCCAGGCAAGAGTACTGGAGTGAGGTGCCATTGCCTTCTCCCTCAACTACCCTACCTGGACATGAAACTGACCATGGGAGTCTGCTAAGTGGTCTCCCCTACAATCCATCCTCCACAAAGAATTGGAGTAATTTTGTAAATGTAGAGAAAAACACTCTCATCCCTAAAGCCATTCAATGATTCCCACTGCTATTCTATTCAAATAAAACCCAAACTTCCCTACACGTAGAGCTCCAACCTAATCACATCTCCACCATATTCTCTCAGGCCCTGCCAGTTCCCATTTGAAGCCGAGCTTTTTCCTGACAGAACTATTGTCTTTTCCTCTTCTGAAACTCTTTGCCCTCAACAATTCAAAAAACTGGCTCCTCCTCGTCCAACCTATCATGTGTCATCTCACTGCCCACTCCTGATGGAGGACTTCCCTGACCACCATTTCTAACCCTTAGCTGCTTTTTATTACATTACTGTTTTATTGTTTATAGTATGTGTGATCCAAAATTATGATTTTTGCTTCATACACTTGTTTTTGTTTTGTATATTTATTTATTGAATACTGGAGCCAAAAAGGTAGTCACTTCATCTGAATTGTTGCACAGCACATGAGAAGTGCGAAATAAATATCTGTGAAATGAATGAACTCATTAAACTGATGTCCTGTTTTCCACAAAATTAGTAAACAGTAAGAAAAGGTACTCTGAGAAAAGATGCCAGTTTCTGTAGTTGATATGGGCAAATTATCACCTTTAAGAGGCTCACAGTTGGCTGAAGAAAGCAATGGGCAATTGTGATACAGCCTGATAAATGCCATGCCTGCCTGCTGAAGTCCCTTCGGTCTTGTCCGACTCTGTGACCCTATGGACTCAGAACCCGCCAGGCTCCTCTGTCCACGGGATTTTCCAGGCAAGACTATCCAGTGGATTTCTGTGCCCTCCTCCAGGGGATCTTCCCAACCCAACGATCAAACCCATGTCTCCTGCAGCTCTTGCATTGCAAATGGATTTTTTTTTTTAAACCGTTGAGCCACCGAGTAAGCCCAACAAACGCTAACAAGGAGGTAAATATAGGGTCCTCTAGGATCACAAGAAAGGAGCCTAATCTTGTCTTGGGTAATTTCATAAGGAATCGTCAGACCCAGAGGGATGGGATGGAGAGGGTAGCGGGAGGGGGGATCGGGAAGGGAACACATGTAAATCCATGGCTGATTCATGTCAATGTATAGCAAAAACCACTACAATATTGTAAAGTAATTAGCCTCCAACTAATAAAAATAAATGGGAAAAAAAAAGCAAAAAAATAAAAGGAATCGTCAGTTCAGTTCAGTTCAGTCGCTCAGTCGTGTCCGACTCTTTGCGACCCCATGAATCGCAGCACGCCACATAAGGAATAGTAGGCAAAGGTAAATCTGAACGATGAGTGAAGGAAAAATGGAGGGGGGAAGGATGAAATGAACGTGGTAAATATCTAGACAGAAGGAACAGAAAGTGGCAAAACTCAGCAAGAGATGAGAAATTTTAAGTAGTTCCTGTTGCAGAGCATTCTTCCAGAGTAACTGAAGGATTCGATGACATAATAATGTATGCGAACATATCGTGACTGCTGAAGTGCCATATGAAAGTGAAAGTCGCATAGTTGTGTCCAACTCTTTGTGACCCCCAGTCCATTGAATTCTCCAGGCGAGAACACTGGAGTGGGTAGCCTCTCCCTTCTTCAGGGTACCTTCCCAACCCAGGGATCGAACCCAGGTCTCCCGAATTGCAGGCGGATTCTTTATCAGCGGAGCCACAAGGGAAGTGCCATATAAGTTATTATAAACAAGCGCAGACCAGTACTATCGGTCATATGTTACCTGATAATTTCTAATATTCAAAGATTTCGGAGGACTTCTAGTGAAGTCTTCTCTTAGACTTAAACGCTAGACCCTCTGATTTTTTCCCCCTACCCCAACAAAACTGATGGACCTAGCAGTCTCACCAGGTGCGGAGATAGAGGGGGCAAGGAAGCCTTAACAACGGTTTTCATTGGCCTTTCAAACTGAATTGTTTGGACGATTGGCTGCGGAGGTTTCCAGAGGCCACCCCACATCGCTGATTGGGTGAGGAGCAGCCAAGTGCCCACCTCCTCTACAGGGCCGGTTAGTCTTGTTGCTTGGCAACCGATTTGCATCTTCTTGCCCAACCGGCACCCAGTTAGTTACACCTGTGAAGCGGGGACGGTGGCTGGTTAAGAACACCCTAAACTTACGCCTCTTACGCCCACTTCACGCACAAACAGCACGAGTGGTCTCAGGGTTTCGTCCACGTTTACCTTCAGGCTGGGCTGTGGGCTGGCGCCGCAAGGACACACCGCAGTGAAGAAAATGCTCACGTCTTCCTTCTGAAGTCCTCCTTTAGAAGAGTCAGAGGAGGAAAGAAAGTCGCTGCTACATGCCCAACTTAGGGCCACCTCTCTTGGGAGTATACAGCATTCTGAAGCTCGAGAAAGCAAATATTTATGTCAGTTAACTAGGTATAGGAGAGGGACCCATAACCTCAGACACTTGTCTCAGAGCGAACGCTAGTAGTGAGGGGACAGGGTCAGAGGCTTTTTTGCCTTATCATGTACAGCAGAGCTTACATCTTGCTAAAAAGAGAATTCGAAGAGTTGAAGAACAACAGTTATGAGGTGAGTATTGGAGACGTGGAAGGTGTGTTTCATTGGGGTACGACTTTTTAAAAGCAGTTTAATCTCTTTATTCTACAAGGCATAATTTAGTTAAATCTAATTTGCACTACAGACTTGTTTAATGAACCTATTTCAGTATAATAATCTGTTTCATAATAATTATTAGTATTTCATAATAATAGTTAACAATATTGAGCACACTGTGCTGAGTAATTTATGGACTTTAATCCCTGAATATAACAGTCTATCAGGTAGTAAATAACTAGTAGGTGCAGGGCTGCATTCACTAATTATCAATTGTGCCTGCATGTTTAGTGGCTAAGTTGTGTCTGACTCTTTGCAACCCCATACACTGCTGCCCACCAGGCTTCTCTGTCCATGAGATTTTTCCAGGCAAGAATACTGGAGTGGGTTGCCATTTCCTTCTCCAGGGGGTTTTCCCCACCCAGGGATGAAACCCAAGGTCTCCTGCATTGGCAAGTGGATTCTTTACCTCTGTACCACCTGGGAAGCCCCTCAATTATCAATACAATATTGTAAAATAAGTAGGTAGTGTTTTGTTTTACCTACCAGAAACCTAAGTCTCAGAAAGCTTTCAGTAAATATGTGGGCTTGGGATTCCATCACAGGGTTTTTGACTCCAAAATCCCTTGCTCTTAAGTCTTGAGTTCTGTTTCTTCCTGTCTAGTACACTTTTTGCCAATTGCCTGACATATAACACATAAGTGTCTTTCCCTTATAATTTTATTTTTTAAATTTTATTTATTATTATTTTTGGTTTGGGCTGGGTCTTCATTGTTTTGCACAGTAATACATTCTTTTCCCTCCATTGGAATAATGCCTCAAGTATAGGAAAATTTTATTTTTATATATGAGCATAATTTTAGAGTTGAGTCTTTCTTAATGAAAATTTCTTACTTCATGCCTAATATAGCATCTATAGGGTTTTTTTTAAAGCTATGAAGAAATACATGCTTTCCAACTATTCCTTTCTTTTTGAATTTGAATCTTAAATTGTCTATAGAATTATATAAGTCACATATTTCATTCTTGACCTTCCAGTCCCATTTGTGATTTTCATACTAATGATTTATTTAAAATTTACTATTGCATGTATTTTCTGGAATCTACCTTAACTTCTGGGTAATAAGACAATATATAACACCGTCTCAAATCAAAAATTTTTATCAATAAAAGAATTTTTAGAGTTTTTAGAATTCATTGTAGCCTAATATCTGATTTCCCAAGCTGCAATAAATATTTAATCTTTTTTTCTGCTTTAATTTTTCTTGCTGCTTAGGGTATTACTGCCTTTCCTATAAGTGAAGATATGATGCAATGGGATGTTGACATTGAAGGTCTACAGAATACAATTTGGCATGGTTTGTGCTTTGAAAACCACTTTTTTTTTTAAGCCTTTATATTACTAGCCTAATTTCTTTAAGGTTGCACTGTATAAATTTTCTAGAATTCCTGAAGTTTTCACATGTTAATGTTTTTCATTGTATGGCTTAATTTTTTTGCCATTTGTCAACATGGATGGAAATTTCAGGTTTGAATTTTTCTTTATGCCCAGTCTTACTGTTATCATGTTTTTAAGAAGCAGACATAGGAAAACATATCAACTGAGAATATCATCTAATAGTCTTCCATGAATTCAGAAAATAACTTTTAAAAAATGCCTATTGACATAAAAATCCCACAATTATGTCTCATTTTTTTCTCTATGATTTTCCCACAAATGTCCATAAGTCAAGTTCTCAAGAAGACTAGGCAATCATAAACTTTAATGACCATGCCCTCTTACAGTTGCAGATTTACAACATACATTTGCTTAGTGAGATAGGGAAGAAAAGCATGTAAGTGGATAGTTACAATAAACTATAACATGTCCTGTTATGAATTTTGAATGGAAAATTGAGGAGGCAGTAGTTAGTTAATTTTGCCTTGGGGAGTCAGAAACAGCTTCCCAATGAAGTGGCACTTGAATTGGGTCTTGAAGAATGTCTGAGAATTCACCATGTTTAGAATCAGAAGGTAGTGCAGGTAGACTGAACAGCCTAGCAAGAGCTGAAGAGAGAGGATTCTGGAGCAGAGAGTAAATATGAGAAACCCAGTGAAGAGGCTGGTATTAGAGGGACAGAGTTAGTGAATGAAAAGGACTGGTGAGAATGTGGCTGAAAACACTGGGTTAGATTGTGAGTAGTCTATTATACCATCTAGAGGTGTCTGGGCATCCTCTAATCCAATTTACTTATTAATATAGTAAAACTCTAGGGACATTGGGGAGGCTAAACTGTAGGCATAAACATCAATGTTAGGTTACAGTTAATCATTAATGTGACACTTTAGTAAAAATGTTTATTTCTGTATCACAGGAGCATTCTTCCAACTGAGAATAAATTTTACATCAGAGTATAATTTTGTCCCTCCAGTTGTGAAATTCAGAACAATTCCTTTTCATCCAAATGGTAAGGAACAAATATAATTATTATCATAAATTCTGTCCATATTATTCTTCATTAGTGTTTAATAATGTTTATTTTTAATGTTATAAAGTAAGCATACTTATTGGGGAAAATATTAAAAAGCAGGAAAAAATTATCATCTGAATCCTAATTCAGAGAGATACTGTTCTCAACATTTAATGGGATTTATTTCCTTTCTTCCATGTATGTATTTTATTTCCATAGTTGAGTTATTAGACAAAGATGTATATATTTTTATTTAAAATGACATAATACATTTATTTCTGCAGTGTTAAACATTCTTCAATATATAATTTTGAACATGGATGATATTTGTATGTCTTCTTTGGAAAGATGTCTTTTCAGGTCTTCTTGCCACTTTTGGTTGATTTGGGGTTTTTTTAATATTGTATGAACTGTTTGCATATTTTAGATGTTAACCCTTTGTTGGTAACATCATTTGCAAATATTTTCTCAAATTCTATAGGTTGTCTTTTCATTTTGTCAATGGTTTCCTTTGCTATGCAAAACTTTTAAGTTTAATTGGGTCCCATTTGTTTATTTTTGCTTGCCTTGGGAGACTGAGCCAAGAAAATATTGCTATAATTGATGTCAAAGAGTATTCCATGTGTGCTTTCTTCTAGGTGTTTTATGGTTGCTGGTCTTATATTTAGGTCTCTAAGCCATTTTGAATTTAATTTGTATATGGTGTGAGGGAATATTCTAATCTCATTGTTTTGGCTCACTGATATGGCTGTCCAGTTTTCCCATCACCACTTGTTGAAGAAACTGTATTTTCTCCATTGTATATTCTTGCCTCTTTTGTTGTAGTCGAATTGACCACAAGCACATGGACTTATTTCTGGTTTCTCTGTTCTGTTCCATTGATTTATGTGTCTGCTTTTATTGCAATATGATGTTGTTTTGATAACTGCAGCTTTGTAGCATAGTCTAAACCCTCAGAGGGTTATACCTCTAGCTTCATTCTTTTTTCTCAAGATTTCTCTGTGGCTCCATATGAATTTTAGGATTATTTGTTCTATTTCTATGAAAAATATTCAGGATATTTTGATAGCCATCTGTTGATTGCTTTGAATAGTATGGCCATTTTAACAATATTAATTCTTCCAATCAAAGAGTATGGGATATTGTTCTGTTTCTTTGAATCATCTTCAGTTTCTTTCATCAGCGTTTTATAGTTTTCAGGGCATTGATCTTTCACCTCCTTGGCTAAATTTACTTCTAGGGTTTTATATGCTATTTTAAATGGGATTTTTTTTTTTTTACTTTCTCTATATGATATTTCATCATTGTTGTTCAATTACTAAGTTGTATCTGACTCTTTGCAACCCCTTGGACTTCAGCACCCCAGGCTTCCCTGTCTTTCAGTATCTCCTGGAGTTTGCTCAAGCTCATATTCATTGAGTTGATGATGCCATCCAACCATCTCAAACTCTGCCACCCACTTCTCCTGCCCTCAGTCTTTCCCAGCATCAAGATCTTTTTCAGTGAGTTGGCTCTTTGCATCAGGTTACCAGAGTGTTGGAGTTTCAGCTTCAGCATTAGTCCTTCCATGACTATTCAGGGTTGATTTCCTTTAGGATTGACTGTTTCATCATTAGTGTATAGAAACAATAGATTTTTGTATATTAATTTTTTTTCCTTCAGCCTTGCTGAATTCATTTATTCTAATAACTTTGGGATGGAAACTTTAGAGTTCTATATAAAGAATATGTTTAATATTCTTGTTCATGTTTAATTAATAAAGATTTGTTTCCAGTAACAGTATTGGATATACAGAAAAGGGAAATGTCCATAAATAGCTACAATGTCCATAAATATAGGAATTTTTAAGTAAAATGTGTTATAGCTATATACATTGCTTTTACACATAACAAGAAAGATATATGAAGACTTTACTCTTTGGTCATTGTTATGTCCCTAGAATCTTCACTCCCTGGCATAGAGTTGGTATTCAAATATTTTTTGAATAAATTTGTCCAAAAATATGTTGGCAATTTACTATTAAATGAAAAATACTTTGAAGAATAAAATGTAATTTAATTTTAAAAACAATAACTACACACACAAAAGTGTGTGTATTTTTTCCCAAATACTACTAATAATTTAGTTAATTGACTGTATTAGGGCATAGGCTAACCTTTTCAAATGACTTTCCAATGTACATAGAACAAAGCTGGCAGGAAGGTTTTACCATCATCAACTTATGGGATCCATTTCTGGACATAAGACATTTATTCTGTCATTATTTCCAGCCAGTGGGGAGGGGAGAGAAAAAGAGAAGAGGGCAGAACAGCTTCCTTAAGAAAATATTATCCAAAAGGTGCACACTTTACTTCTGCTGATGTCCCACGATTAAGACTTAGTCACACGGCCACATCTTGTTAGAGGAAAGGCTGGGAAAATGTGGGCAACTATGTATTCATCTAAAATGACACAGGGGGATGGGGAGGAGGCAGGCATCATATTTCTTACTATGGAGAGAAGAAATGGAGAAAAGGAAGGACAGACACTGGAGGGCCATGAGTAACGTTCTTGAAACTTTTCATATCATTTCTTGATCATCTTTTTTACCACTGAGTCATAATTTCAGTTTTCACTTACCACAGTTTTAATACCAACTAGAATTTTTTTCTAAATACTTTTTTTTTTATCACATTGTTCACTCACATCTTTTGTCTGTTGCACTGTTAACTATTATAGTAGTTTTACACTTGATCTTAGCCAAAAGGCCGAGAAGCGATTATTGTAGTTTTAAAACACAATGTCCCAAATCGAAGACCCCTCTTTTCACCTTGTCAACATTTTCTTCCCAGATCTTTCCTAAAGATTGCAGGATCTTTCCATTGGATATAAATATTTTTCTTATTTTTTAATAAAAATTGTTTATATGTTAATAAAAGTATTTTTAATAATGATAATTATCTGAGGATCCACTCTATGCCAGGTACTCTATTAAGGACTTTGTTTTTTAAACTCTTTTCAGTGAAAGTAGATACTTCAACTTCACGTACTTGGAAAATGAGACTTAGAGAGGTAGTTCATTGCTCAGTGTCCATTGCTGATAAGTGGAGGAGTCAACCGTCAAATTTATGTGTATCTGACACCAAAGTCCATGCTCTAACAACTGGTTTATATTGACTGTCACATTCATTGCAAAGATTATCACTTGCTTTCTAACTTAGTCTATGATATGTTGATCTTCATAAGTTTTAAATGATAATTTTATGTATAAATATTAATGTGTTATTTTAATACAGTAGACCCACATTCTGGCAAGCCCTGTATAGATTTTTTGGACAGCCCTCGTAAATGGAATAGAAGCTATACGTTGAGCAGCATCTTACTTACCCTCCAGGTAAGAACAGATTAATAATAAAATGCTGTCTTTGTTGTTGTTGTTTAGTTGCTCAGCTGTATCAGACTCTTTTGCACCCCCATGGACTGTTGCCCGCCAGGCTCCTCTGTCCATGGGATTTCCCAGGCAAGAATACTGAAGTGGGTTGCCATTTCCTTCTTCTGGGGATATTCCCGACTCAGGGATCAAACCTGTGTCTCCTGCATTGGCAGGTGGATTCTTTACCACTGAGCCACCAAGGAAGCCCAATGATGTCTTTAATGCATTTAATTACCCAATTATTCAAAGTATAAGGAATAAAATATACAATGTATATTTAAATATTTAAAGGATTTGAGTAAGCTTATATGACTCAATAATATTTCTTCATCAAAACTGTAAAATGGAACTTGAACTATAAAAACTATTATTTTTAAAGTGAAATTGATAGCTTAGGCCCTTTCCAACCAAACAATATGTATTTTATAAAAGAAGAAGAGAACTGTTTGGATGGTTTCAATTCTGGAAATATACTCTTAGGCTTGCTTTTGGCTCCTAACGTCATACTTTGTAATGTTGAACAGGCCTTTTGGATCTTTATTCATTCATGAACCTTGCTTTCCTCAGAGAGGTGAACAAGTGACTACAACATAAAATAGCCATCTATATCCTTTATCTATGACAGTATTAGAGACCTGCTTTGATAAGCTTTCATGTCAAACCCAGTGAACAATTAAACCAGAAATTTCCTCCTCTGCTCAGTAGATCCCTGTTTATAGAATGTATCCTTTGCATCCTAAATCTATGGTATTTAGAAGCATGCTTCTGTGTTGTGAGTGTGTTATGTCATTCCTGACCCTCAGAGAGCCTCCTTTCTCATCCTGAGATGTTAAATGATTTGACCAGTTATATCTGGCCCGGTGAGATTCTATCCACCAGATTTTATCCATGATAAAATTCTATCTACTCATCATTGATAATGTTTGGAGATAAGTATTAAATTTTGATCTGAAATACCTGGAGAATAAAGTATTCTGGCTTAATTGAATTTTCTCAGTAACATAGAATTATAATAAAAATTCCATCTCTCCTCTGTCTTGTTTTCAAAAATAAAACTATCCTTGATTTTCTATCTAGTCATCTTAGTATGCTGAGTAAAATTTAAATTTTTTAAAAAATAAATTTAAATTTACAATAAATTTTTAAAAATTCAATGTTGAATTTAATCATTCATTCATTCTACAACTGTGTGTTGAGCATATGTACTGGTGCCAGGCCACGCTCTGGAAGAGAGATTGGAGCAAAACCTTTGAGGAAGTAAGCGAGCGTGATGTGCAGAGATTTGTGGTTGATCTTTCAGATTCTTTCAAACTGAGTCATCCTATCTCTTCCACCTAAGTAAAAACAGCCTTAAAAACAGTAAAAGTGAATGTTCTCAAAAATGTAATGAGTGAGGGCAAACCAGAATGAAATGGTGAACATTTTGAATTGCAGAATAATTTAATAAAGGTAAATTGGGGACTGTGAGTTTAGATTGCTTGGCTTCACTTCTTGGTTCTGCCACTTAATACTTTACACTTTTGGAACAAGTTTGTCCACTTATCATTCCCTTTATTTCTTCATCAGTAAAATGGGGCTGTTAGTAGCTAACTCATATAACTTGTAAGGACTAAATGTATAAGTACATGTAAAGTACTTAGAACCATGAGTGGTCTAAGAAAAGAATTCAATAAAATCTGGTTAATATTTTATTGTTCTTAATTTTAACCAGTAATACAAAGTGACAACAAAGTGTTCCCAAATATATCATGAAAAGCCAGTAGACCAAATATATCATGAAAAGCCAGTAGATTCCACAGTTTCTTTTATTTTTCAAATAGTTTTATAAAACAAATATGCCCACATTAGAAAACATTTTTAAGATAGTAGAAAGGAAAAGAAAATCACTGGTAATCATAAAGAAAATTCCTTCCCTGTTGTTATTAACATTTTCTTCTGATCTTTTCTCTTGTGTTTTGGTTTTCAATCTTCAGTTCCACATTCCCTACAAGGTCAAGGCCAAATTCTGTTGCCTGACAAATGATCTATTTCTCACACCTTGGCCTTAACCCTCTGAAACACACCATGGCATCCCGCTCGTATTTATATCTTTATTATTTTTTTATCTTTTAACTCAGTTCTTGGTTCAGCTCAGGTTAAAAACCATTTATAGAGTTCTAAACTCTAAAGTTACAAACGAAGTCAATCTTGGACCTTACGAAGTCCTCAGTCCAGTTCTGCGTCTGACTAGCATCCCACTTTATTCCCTTTTTCTCAGTCCTTTTAGCAAGCAGCTGCTCACATTTTAAGAGTCAGGTCAAAAGATGATTCCTCTGAAATGCCTTTCCTGATTTCCTTTCCTAGGTGAAATTGATGGCTTTGGTTTGGGGAGGGGGGCTTTCTTTGTGAAGTGTTGCCCTAAGTAAATGTGTGTGAGAGAACTATAATGCTATGATGCAAATACTGCTTCCTTATCTGTCTTCCCCTATTAGACTGTAAGACCCTGAAGGTCAGGAAACAAATCTAATTCCTGTGGTAGATACTAAGTAATATGACTGAAGCAACCAATCTGTTTTTATATAGTTGCAATGATACTCTCAGTTCAGTTCAGTCTCTCAGCTATCAATTCAGTTCAGTTGCTCATTCGTGTCCGACTCCTTGTGACCCCATGCCTCCCGGTCAATCACAAACTCCCAGAGTTTATTCAAACTCATGCCCATCGAGTTGGTGACGCCATCCAGCCATCTCATCCTCTGTCATCCCCTTCTCCTCCTGCCCCCAACCCCTCCCAGCATCATGGTCTTTTCCAACGAGTCAACTCTTCGCATGAGGTGGCCAAAATATTGGAGTTTCAGCATCAGTCCTTCCAATGAACACCCAGGACTTATCTCCTTCAGGATGGACTGATTGGATCTCCTTGCAGTCCAAGGGACTCTCAAGAGTCTTCTCCAACACCACAGTTCAAAAGCATCAATTTTTCGGCGCTCAGCTTTCTTTATAGTCCAACTCTCACATCCATACATGACCACTGAAAAAACCATAGCCTTGACTAGATGGACCTTTGTTGGCAAAGTAATGTCTCTGCTTTTTAATATGCTATCTAGGTTGGTCATAACTTTCCTTCCAAGGAGTAAGCGTCTTTTAATTTCATGGCTGCAGTCACCATCTGCAGTGATTTTGGAGCCCCAAAAAATAAAGTCAGCCACTGTTTCCACTGTCTCCCCATTTATTTCCCATGAGGTGATGGGACCAGATGCCATGATCTTAGTTTTCTGAATGTTAAGCTTTAAGCCAATTTTATCACTCTCCTCTTTCACTTTCATCAAGAGGCTCTTCAGTTCTTCTTCACTTTCTGCCATAAGGGTGGTGTCATCTGCATATCTGAGGTTATTGACATTTCTCCTGGGAATCTTGATTCCAGCTTGTGCTTCTTCCAGCCCAGCATTTCTCATGATGTACTCTGCATATAAGTTAAGGTGACAATATACAGCCTTGATATACTCCTTTTCCTATTTGGAACCAGTCTGTTGTTCCATGTCCAGTTCTAACTGTTGCTTCCTGACCTGCAGAGGCATGTCAGGTGGTCTGGTATTCACATCTCCTTCAGAATTTTCCACAGTTTATTGTGATCCACACAGTCGAAGGCTTTGGCATAGTCAGTAAAGCAGAAATAGATGTTTTTCTGGAACTCTCTTGCTTTTTCAATGATCCAGCAGATATTGGCAATTTTATCTCTGTTTCCTCTGCCTTTTCTAAAACCAGCTTGAACATCTGGAAGTTCTTGGTTCATGTATTGCTGATGCCTGGCTTGGAGAATTTTGAGCATTACCTTACTAGTGTGTGAGATAAGTGCAATTGTGCGGTAGTTTGAGCATTCTTTGGCATTGCCTTTCTTAGGAATTAGAATGAAAACTGACCTTTTCCAGCCCTATGGCCACTGCTGAGTTTTCCCAAATTGTTGGCATATTGAATGCAGCACTTTCAGAGCATCATCTTTTAGGATTTGAAATAGGTCAACTGGAATTCCATCACATCCACTAGCTTTGTTTGTAGTGATGCTTTCTAAGGCCCACTTGACTTCACATTCCAGAACTGAGTTTTTCATTTTCTTTAAGTACTAATAATTTAAATTTAGATGACTCACTGGTTACAACCTTTTGAATAACAAGTGATACACATTTATAATTATCACATTGTTATCCATAGGGTTGATACTTGAAATAGTGTTAAAAATACTTTCAAGTCTAATATCATATGCTACTAAATGTCTATGATCTTGATTTCTTTGAAAACTTGTCCTTTCATATATAAGCAAAAGTAAATATCAAACTCATCCATAGAAGGAATTCCAAATTCTTGGGCTTTACCTAATTAGATAGTATAAAATATACTCACTGGTTACAGTATATTTTATACTATCCAATTAGTTAAAGCCCATGACAAGGCAAAAAGATAGAACCCTGAAAGATGAACTCCCCAGGTCAGTAGCTGCCCAATATGCTACTAGAGATCAGTGGAGAAATAATTCCAGAAAGAATGAAGGGATGAAGCCAAAGCAAAAACAACACCCAGTTGTGGATGAGACTGGTGATAAAAGCAAGGTTCAATGCTGTAAAAAGCAATATTGCATAGGAACCTGGAATGTTAGGTCCATGAATCAAGGCAAATTAGAAGTGGTCACCAGGAGATGGCAAGACTGAACATCGACATTCTAGGAATCAGCGAACTAAGATGGAATGGAATGTGTGAAACTAACTCAGATGACCATTTTATCTACCACTGTGGGCAGGAATCCCTTAGAAGAAATGGAGTAGCCATCATAGTCAAAAAAAGAGTTCAAAATGCAGTACATGGATGTAGTCTCAAAAATGACAGAATGATCTCTGTTCATTTCCAAGGCAATCCATTCAATATCACGATAATCCAAGTCTATACCCCGACTGAATGCTGAAGAAGCTGAAGTTGAACGGTTCTATGAAGAC